AAGCGGTGCGTAGGAAATGTTCCAAACAGGAAACAATCATTGATTCAATAGTAGAGGCCCTATACATCATTGCTTAAAAAACAACAAAAGTTGTGGTTTGGATCAGGAAGTTCATCAATGAACTTGGAATAGTTTCTAACATTGTTGATCACATACTTCTGCATTGTGATAACAATGGAGCTATCATGCAAGCGAAGGAACTAAGGTCTCATTAATGATCTAAACATGTGTTAATGCGGTATTATCTCATTGGAAAGATAATACAAAGAAATGACTTAAATAAATAACGAATCCCACAAGGTATTAAATTACAAATCCATTGAAAAAGGGTTGTTGAAGCATTACCATGATCGTCATGTAGACTCTTATGATATTAGATACATAAGTGATTGGATTTAGTGTAAGTGGGAGTTTGTAAGTGTTATGATCTACGTCCAACCAACTTTGAACATAAACACTTGATATATATAATTGATGCATATTTATGGCAAAATTTATTATTTAATTGAAGTAATATTTTAACAAATTAAATAATACAATCCGTAAATTCAAGTCTTGGTAATTTGTAAATCACAAGGAGTTGTGATTGTGAGATACAAATTACATATGACTGAATTTTAAATCGTTCGTGGTCGTATGTAATAACAAGATACGAATATTGTTATTACGAATAGACCATCACGTGTGGCATTTCTTATTTGTGAAGNGGAGTTGTGATTGTGACATACAAATACATATGACTGAATTTTAAATCATCCGTGGTAGTATGTAATAATGAGATACGGATATCGTTATTACGGATAGATTACGTGTGACATTTCTTACTTATGAACTAAATAGCTAATCTCACAAGTTAAAGTGTGGTAATATTTAAATGAACAGTTGATGTTTTGTTATAGAACAAACCCGTTAGGGAGATTCCACATGGATAACTATCTGAGTGTCAGTAGTTAATCTCTAACGTTCAGTTGTGGAATTGGTCTTTTGACTTGAGGTCATCATAGTGCCTTATATGATGACAGTCATACATTGGTGATATTTGATGTTGCTCTGCCAAGGGTCGCTAATACGGCATCGTTCGGGTATGTCAAGAATCATATGAAGGTTGTGAATGATGAATAGAGAATTCGTCACTTTTAGATAGTAAGAGATAGATCTACATTTTGTTCCGTTAAGTGGATAATGAAATCATTGGCCAAAGTGTAATCATTAGTTGAAATTGAGTTTTTGACTTATATTGACTTAATAGTGGGATGAAAGATATGGTCGATAATTCAGATTGACGCACATTTATATCTCGTAATTGATCGGATCATATTGACGAAGGGATTATAGTTTCACGGTAAACGAACTAATTTGATTTTGTCATATTACGTGACATTTCCAGTCATATGTATTGTCCTCACAAATTACTAGATGTCAATCTGTGACGACAAATGTGAATTGATGATGAATTAAAATTGGGTATTTTAATTTATAAATTTTGATTAGATCAAATAATAATTCGCGCCGTTAGACATCGTGATCGGGAACCTGATGGGTCACACACAAAAGGAGAACCAGAAGAATGAGATTTACCAATTAATTAAGTAACAAGTGTTGGATAATTAATTAATTGGATTGCTTATTAATATGCCCAAATTAATCAATTGGATTAATCAATTCATGGACCGGGTTATAATTAATTTGATTAATAAAATATCGGACCGGGTTGAGCTTCAAGAGGGGCCAAGCCCACTTGGACTTANATATGCCCAAATTAATTAATTGGATCAATTGATTCATGAACCAAATTTAATTAATTGGATTAATTAAGTATTGGACCTAGTTAAGTTTAAGAGACGGGCCAAGCCCACTTGAACTTCTATTAATAAGCTGTTAGGGTTTGTAAAATATATACATCATCATTATTATTATTATTTTTGCTAGCACAAGAAAAGAGAGAGAAACTCTAGTTTTCATTATTGTTCCCTGTGTGGATTTTCATTGGAGACTCGACAACTGGACAGTTGTAGATTGCAGTTCGGGATTGTTCGTGTTCGAGAATCAGCAAATGAGTTTGCTAAATTTATCAAAGATATTATTTTATACATATTTTCTATCTAAACACAAAGGCCAAAGCAGATCCATAGTGGGAATTGAAAAATAATTTATTTTCCACTGTGCATATTAAGTAAATTTCCAATAGAGGAAAGCAATGAAAATGGTGTAGAAATAATCAAGGACGCACTGTCTAGAGTTCTTGCGCATTTCTACCCATTTACAGGGGATTGTAAACTCGAAGATTTAGGTGCTATTACGAAGCCTCATAATGGGATGCTTTGTCAGCTTGTCTATGATATTCCTGGTGCTGAAAATATACTGGAAATTCCTCCCATGGTGGCTCAAGTAAGTTGCTTTCTTTAAAATTCCTCCTAGTTAGAATCACGCGGTTGTCAAAATAATTCTCTCTACTTTAGGACAGAGGCGAACCTAGAGGGAGCCGGGATTGGCAACCTCTCGCAACATTTTTAAATTCTATGTAGAAATTTTGAATTTTATAACATAACACATATTTTTGCCCCTTAACGTTTTTGTCACCGCTTAAAATCCTGACTCCACCACTGCTTTGGGCCAATCATTTTGTCCTTGTTTGACAGAGATTAAAATCAGATTTTTAGTAAATTTTGATAGAAATTGATGTAATGTGGGGTTAAATAGTTGTGGATCCCACAAATGTGTGGTTAAAACTAATTGTTGATTTTGACTTGAGATTTTAATTGAATTTTAATTCAAACGAAAGAGGGGCTTAGTATGGAGCAGGTTCTCAAATGGTTTCATTTCATTAGTATAGTGTACAAGGTCCCCTTTATTTTTCTTTGGGT